TACATACATACATACACACACATAAGGGTCACAACCAGCATAAAGATGATGATTCCATCAACAACACTTCTCATGGCATGGGGTAAGAACATACAGCTGATGATGGGGAACATAAAGCTGCAACAAACAATAACAAAAGGAGGATTCTTTCGCCCTGTGGCAGGTGGCCTCCGCAAGGTCTCGGCCTTGTGTGCGGTTTTTTGTCCGGCTTCGCGGCTTAGGGCTCAGGATTGAGGCTATCCGAGTTGAGGGCTCGCATCACGTAGAACCTTAAGCTGTGCAGGACCCCATCGGAGTGGTAGCTGCGAAGATAGCCCGCGGGAAGAAGCTCACCAGCATTGCCTCAAACAATCCTCAAACGAACCTTGGCTCAAAGCCAAAGGCCAAAAGCACCACAACTGATGCTTAACGCAGAATAGTTTGATCGAAAGAGGCAGGCAAAACCTAAACTTACAACACACCCTCAGTTTGGAGTGGGGTCAGATAAAGATGGCGGTGAACATGATCCACGGTTCCTTAGATATATCCTACGAAATGGAACCATGCTAATGACGTCCTGTGCTACAGATCCTAATAAATAGATGCCACAGATTGCCTGTATGGTCCTATAAGCCAATCCCTAAACACCAAAATCCTACAACCTCCAATCCCCGAACGAACGGCCGTGACACCAAAAGCCAGTGAAGCCAATTTTGGATACGTCACCTCACAGACTCCACTTCGTAGGTGACTGGCCGGGCCTCTTCGGAGAACTCTCCGCAGAGTTTGGGGGTTTCAGGCTTAGCCCCTCGAGCGGATCTTGCATTCTGAGATAGAGCCATGCTTGATGGACTCATGTTTCTGTTGTCAACCTTCGCGGACTTACTTTTGAGACAGCATGGGATGCCGCAATTACACCCGAAATGCTGGAATCTGAGGTGAACGTCTCAATTTCCTTGGCTGGCATAGTTTCTACAGCGCATACAATCCGCTCACATCTTTCAAATCTTTTTCCGACTCTGCCAAGTCAAGTTTTATCACGATAAAGCTGATTTCTATTGCAACACCTATTCCCCAGAAACACAGCCCACCTCCGGCAGAACAGTGACCTGATCACGGAGGTTTCCGCTTCCGGATGGCTGTTCGGGTCTCGTATGTAGACTTACGGCCTTACGGCTTGAGCTCGTGACGAGAAGGGATGAAAGTCTCGGGATGCAGGGGCTGGGTACGATTTCAGCTGGCAGTGAGCACATGCAGGCTTGCAAGCTGTCACGAGCTCATGTCATCGTTGTCATGGGACTAATCGCGGTGACCACCGCTTGGTATTTGCAGCGCACAACCAGCGGGGCTCTCTCCATGTGTCGCATGGTGGTGGAGGAGGAGGAAGAGGAGGGGAGGTGGAGGAGTTGCTCCTCTAATATTTACTGTCTACACACAGTCTGCACTATTCACACTAGTCTTACTGGTCATGTAACACCCCTGTGATAATTGCCACAACCCTAAAGTCCGAAGCTGTTCACGCCGATCTTGACAGACTCACGCCCGCAACGTCCGCAACTAGCAAGCTACGAAATCTTTAGTCTAGACATACTTTCTCAAACACTGCCTCTTCGCAACTTATTATGGATCGCCCCCAAACCCCTATAAACCTTAAACCCTACAGCCCCAAAGCCGGCCCCGTTGTTGTGAGAAGCACTGCCTGTTCGTAGTCTCCGCGGCCAGAGCCGACCTGGATGGCGCTTCCACGTTGGAGAGACGCGCGGCTTACGGCTTGGAGCCTGTAGGGCCTTCAGGGTACGGGGGTTCTGCGGGGTTTACGGCTTCAGGGTGTGGGGTTTCGGAAATCGGCCTTTTTGGTTTGGGGTTTAAGGCTTACAGTCTTTGAGTTGAGACTTCATGTTTGAGTTGAGGGTATAGAGCCGTTTGGGCATAGCTCACAAGTTTCTCTTTGGACCTACAAGATACAGAATGACAACAAAAGAGGTTATGTAGGCTTGGGGTCTGATGTTCTCGGATCGGGCTAAAGGCGGGGTTCGTACTGCATGGCCTTTGGATTCTGGGGCTTGCGCTAACGGTGAACGGATTCGAGTTCACGGCAGCGGAGGGAGCACTCTGCTCCGTTCACTTAGCTGGAAACTCTCCCAGACGTCCAAAACGTAGCCCAAAAGCCTGAAGCAAATCAGCCCCCAAACCAGCAGAACGCCAGAGGCAAGAAACCGCCCCACGAGCACCATGCTTCCAACGCGCAAAGTTCCGCGTGACAGAGGCCGTATTCACACGTCCTCCATGCCCTGGTAGATAGAGAACGAAAAGCGCACCGAACTCACAAAACCTCAACCCTCCCCAAGACCAAGCCCTCCGAGCCCACGGCATACTTGAAGTCACCGGTGTCCTTTTCATCGATCTGCTCGAAACAGACCTGATGCAGGAGACCCAAACCGAAGGCTTAGGGTGCGCTTCAAGCCAGGGGTTCAGGCGTTCAGAGCTTCGGACTTAGAAAAGATGTCAAGCAGGAAATTCCACATCCCAAGCCGTAAATACTTGGTTGCACGCGAACGGGGTCTGCAAGAGTTGAGGTTCTCGGGGCGACACGCTTTAGGATCTTTAGGGGAATCTAAGTCAAACGGATAGCAAACACAAGCGTGTTATTCGCGGGCCTCAGTCACGGATGCCTAGCCAACTCGTGTCCCTCCTGAACCACGGCTAATCCGGGCCCCAAAATTTACACGTATTGTCTGAAGAGCGTGCCCCCAAAAAAGGCACTTCAGCACCCTTACTTGTCTGAAACCTGATGAGCAGAGACGCAGACAACCAACCCAAAACCCTCGATCTAGGCTGTCGGCTCCAGCCATAGCTCCACAGCCGAGGTCGTCCGACGGGGAATAGACTGCAACGAGCGCTGAAGGGGAGGGTTTCTACAAGGATGTACGTGTTTCCGGGCTCTGAGCTGGCTTTAGGGGCATTGCTTGGTGTTGCTGCTGGCAGTATAGGGTATCAGCAGCATGAAGCTGTTTCCCGCGCTCAACGCAAAGCGCGGCCGAGAACTCACGTTTAACCTTATAATGCTCTAAACGATCACGCGCTACACAAACAAGAAAGGTGAGGACCGGCATCTGCAAGCAATGAGACCATCGATCCCGAATATCCGTCAGCCTTCAAATCCGGCAATCCGGACACCTCGGCAGATCCGAAACCTGACAGACTAGGCCAGAAACCACAACCTTAGCTCGAAACCTTGAGGACCTCCAGCCGGAACGGATGTAGCCTTCTTGTTAAAGCAGTCCCCTCAATGATCCGTACTCGGATCTGCTGGCCTTGGCCACGCGGCGGCGAAGATGGCCCAGAGGGCGCCGAACCTGCGACGGGGCTGCCGCTGGAGGCGGCCACCGTGACGCCGGGGCCCTCAGACCGTTCAGGGATGTGCGCGGGCAGGCACAGGAGGATTTTGTTGGGTTCGGGTTGTTGGGTTGTAAGGATCGAATGTCTCACAGATGCCGTTCTTTGCTATTGCAACTTTTGTTTGAGAGTTTTGGGGTTGTTGGCTTGCTTAGGATGCAGGCGTTGAGGTTTTGGGGCTTCAGTGCCTTAGGATGTAGTAGGCTTCAGGGCTACGGTGTTAGGGTCTAGGCCACTTAGGTCGATGATAGGTGTACGTGTCGCACAATGCCAAGGTGTTGGAATGGGTTCAGGGTTGATAGCACAAACCCGAATGAGCAAACTCTCAGCCCGAAACTGAGAGCTCGGCGACTACCCAGAAAACCTCAACACTCATGCGACCAAAACCATCTCCACTGTGCAGAAGCCCACAGCCCGATGCTGAGTCACAGAACCCGTGGACCCTGAACCCCAAACCATCAACCACCGAAAACCCTCAACCCAACACCTGAAACCTTAGACCCTAATCCCATAACCTGGCTGAGCCCAGTCGCATCCAGGTCCAGTTCTGGCTTCGGCATGGCGACGTGCCGAAATGGACGCAGGTGATGTTATGTTTACGTTTCTGTCGCCCACGTGCGGCTCGGTCGCTGAATTCGAGAGTTAGGAGTCTGGGGTTAGCTCTTCTGTTAGGACTGTTATCGCTGAGTATCATTACATGGACAAGTGGCAACCGTTGTCACCCTCGCCATTTTGATCAAGACGCAAGCAACCAGTAAAAAACCTTGCATCTTATCCTAAATGCTGGCAAGGCCTGGGAGCAGGGCCTACCTTCCCAACACAACCTTTTTGCCAGATTATCCTGTACTGGTATTATTGGTTCCTGACATTGCAGCTGCAAGAGAAGAGGCACGTGCTTAAGATATGAGGGTGGTCATATGTGCCAAGGTTGTTGAAGCGATCGCTGCAGCGGACTTTTGACTTCGGGCTTGGAGAAGCCGGTGCCTTACAGAACTTCGATCAAGAATACAACATGTGGACTGCCCACATCCGCCCACGCACTTCCTACCTGCCCATCCAGGAACAAAGACCCTACGCCCCGGAATATTTGAGGATCTCTGCCAGGCCTGAGAATTTGAGACCCTGTGCGCAACTTTAGGAAGCTTCGTGCAAAACGGAAATGCAGCGCCTCCTGCTACCTCAGTACTCCATGGACGCCCTGCAGGACTCTTCAGTCTTATCACTGCTCCTGTCGAAGATGATGGCATATACTCAGCCCTCAAAGGGGATTCTTGAGTAGCATGCCAGTGGATAGTCAATCTTGGCACTCGGACCTTTCTAGAGTGGAGAGTGCTCGCTTTTTACAGCGTGCCATCTTGGACTTCTCTCGTCGACTGCTGAGGGCCTGTGAGGTGGAGCTTAGCGACGGGATCCCGCAGCCAACCCCTAAAATCTGGACGACACTTCCTGCGGGAAGTCTCAAGATCCTCAGCCCAGAACTGCAAAGCCCCGGCCCTGACCTGAGCATCACCGTGGTATCGTAATGAGGGTGTGCCATGCAGAGGCTTGGGGACAACAGGACAATGAAGGTCCCTGAAGATTACGGCCTTCGCGGCTATGGGTTTTTGCTGCTAACCTCCTGTTGCTCCTTTTGCTCATTCCGCAAGCAATGCTGCGGCGCATGCCACATTGATGATGTCCTCTAGCGAGGATTTGCTGAAAACATGTCAACAATCGTACAAGACCCGTGCAAGACTGTAAGGAACAAAGGGCAGCCCTGCAAAAACATTCCTGACCTCCCAACAACCCTGAGGCCTGGGAGCACTCCAAAGCCCAGAAGCCCAGAACCACCACGCTTCGAATCAGATAGAGTAACTTAGTATTGAGGACTTGGCTGTTTCGGGTCCTCCACGGAGCAGCCGCGCGAGAGATCCATGTACGGGGCTCGAAGGCCCTGCCTTTGAAGGCTTCGGCTTTTGGGGCGTGGAGCCGAGACTTTTGAGGCAGGGTTGAGGTTTTCAGCAAAGTGCATTCAGGACTCATGGTGTACGGCTTTGGTTTCGCCCTGCACACAACTGTGCGGGAACTTCTTTCGGGCGCCAGCGAGGCGTGTAGTCTGTTGCAAACTAGGTTCGTTCTCATCTCGTTCTCATCTACATATTGTAGTGCTAGCTTACTACTAGAAGCACCCAACTAAGGCTAAATTAACGTCGGATGCAGAGTTCCACACCTCGAGACCTTGACTTTTGTTCCCCAAGCGGCTTTGGGTTCATGGCCGGCAAGCTCGAACTTGCATAAACCTGAGGTCTTGATGTGCTTTTGCCTCCCGCAAGCAAGCGAGCTTTAAGCCTCAGCACCAGCACCAGCAGCAGCACCAGCAGCACCAGCATCCACAACAACACAACCACCACAGCCCACTATGCTTTTTTGACAGGGCCAAGTCTGCACCCGAAGTAGAATTACACCCGTCTCTCCGTGTTGTTCTGTAAGTTGGTATATTTCTGTATACAAGTCTGTGCATGCAACGTATGCATACACACACACACAGATGTGCATACACAGACTAATAGGCGCAGACACGTGCTAAGATCAGTGCATATGTGGGCATATGTGAATGATGGATGTAAGGTGGTGCAGGCATGTGCGTAGTGTGCGTGTGCGTGTGGGTTTGGAGGATGACTGGCTGGCTGGTCAGCCGGCTGGCTGCTCGGTTGCTTGCTTGCTCGCTCGCTTGGTTGGCTGGCTGGCTGGCTGGCTGGTTGGTTGCCCGGTTGGTTGGCGGGTTGGCTAGCGGGAAAGGGGGGGGGGGGGGGGGGGNNGGGGGGGGGGGGGGGTGGTGATTGGCGGGTTGGTGCTTGCTCGGTTGCTCCGTTGGTTCCTTGCTTCCTTCCTGGCTTTGCTCGCTTGGTTGGTTAGTTGCTTATGGTTGCTTCTGGTTGCTTGGTTGATCTTGCTTGGGTTTGCCAGGTTGCCTCATTGCTTCCTTGCTTGCTTGTCTTGGTGGCTTGGTCCTGGTTGCATGCTTGCTTGCTTGCTTGCCTTGGTTTGGCTAGGAGGTTGTGGTCTGTGTGTGTGTGTGTGCGCATGTGCCCATTGTTTGTTGTGTGTGCACATGTGCACTACATTACCCTGCACATCCCAGGAGAGCCATAAGCGCCCAGTGCCCGACAACACCACAGCCTGGCCCTGTCAATCCATTATCGAGCCTACATGTAGGATCACCAAAAGACAGCCGCTCGACACCCGCTGACTTCTGACATTGCTATTAAACCTCATGACAAACCAGGCAGGCCTCCTAATCCGAAACACTCTCAAACATGCTCCAGCAGATTTGCGAGTCCAATCGATGGACCCACTCGGTGGCCGAGCCACACAAGGGGTCCAACGGCCTGCGCCCCTCCCAAACGCTCCACAAGCTTGTAGGCAATGTTGCCTGCATAGTGTAGTGTTGTATGAAGTTTCAACACATAGGCTGCTTTGCAAAGTTGACTGAGGCATCCTAGGAAGAACATGCTGCCACTCCCCTTGTAGGGCTCATAAAACACTCGGAATGCTTTAGTACCGCGCGCAACGGACCATGAATGCCTTATTGCCTTATAGTAAAGTCTTGCTGTGACAAGGTCTTGCAGGTTTCTGTTCGAAAATTGGCACGACTCTTACAGCCATCACCATCACCATCATCGGCCACATGTGTGCTTTACCCTCTTACAACTACATAATTCGGACACTGTTGTGCAATTGCTTGTGCTTGCATTCCCCACGGACCCATGCTTTCGGTGTTCGGGCTCCAAATGCTGAATGATATGTCGCAGCCCCCAAACCTCAACCCGGCGGATTTGGAATTTAGAGCTGAGGATTCGAGGTTTTGGGGGATTAGGGCTCTAGGACTTAAGCTTTGGGATTCCACATTCGAGAGCCGGGACCCTCTTGGGAAGAGTCTCCGAAGCCCGATACCCGACAAACTCGTTCTGCACCGTAAGATCCGACCCTTGATATGGGTCATATGGGGTGTTTCGTATTTATGCTGGAGGTACCGTATACTGTTTCCGGTCTGTACTATATTCGGATGTTTGCAATCCTATGACACTACCATATCAGATCTCCTTAGGGCTTCTACCTTTGATGTGTCATAAGTATGACTGATTCAAAGCTTCAAAGCAACAATCCGAAGTCTGCGCTGTGAGTGGGGGGGCCCTAGTGACCGTAGTGTCTGAGAAGAGGACCTTTTGGTGTTTGGTGCAACAGCTTCGACAGGTTGATTGTTCGGGAAGACGAGCTCGAATAATTGGGGCCCTGGTATAAGCCCCGCTCAAGGCTGCAGCGTATGGGCGTTCTGAGCAAGCACTCGGCTTACCTGCGTCCAGGTCCGGAAACACCAGCACGTTGCCTTGGCGAGCTGTAAGCTCCACCCCGGTGGGCAAATCTAATCATGGACCCTGAGACCGAGACCCAAGCCCCGAGCCGTCGGGTCGAGGAAGATTTGCGTGTGTTACGCTAACACTTGGATGTGATGAGTTCTAAAGCAAAAGCCACACAAAAAGACTCCAAAGCCACTGCCCGAAGTTAAAACTTCGAACAATGCCTAAACCGTAAATCCTAGTACAGTGTAATGCACCCACATAATGCCGGACCCTGAAGCTAAAGCGGCAGCTTGGTCACAGTCGCCGGCCACCGGAGACTCCGGCGCTTTCTTCTGGCCTATGCTCCTCGGGAGGGGACCGGGGAACCGGGATCATTGAGGGTGCTTTTGGCTTCTAGACAATGTGTAATGATGCAAACTTGCACTAACCAATATTGCTAAGGATCCGATTTGGCGCTCACCAAATCCTAATCAGCCCGAAATGTATGGGCCCTGCACAAGCGGCCGCGGCCGTCGATGCCTCTCCCGCCTGACAGTTAGGGCCTGCGTCCCTGAACTTTAAGCCCGAAGCACAAAGCCTGGCCAGCCTCCACTGGCCCCAAATCTGGAGTAAACGTTATGTAAAGCTATATCCCTAAACCCGAATGCCTAGACCTAAAGCGCAGGCCCGAAAAGTTGCCGGTCTGCCCCTAAGCTTACTCACTTGTTCTCCCGCAGTCTCTCGGTCTCGGTCTCGGTCTCGGTCTCGGTCTCGGTCTCGGTCTCGGTCTCGGTCTCGGTCTCGGTCTCTCTCTCTCTCTCTCTCTCTCTACAAAAAGACGTTTGCGTTCACTCATTGCGCACCCTCGGCGTGGGGCTGCTAGCTTTTACAGCAAAGCATCCCTGAAGCGCCCACCCCATGCCCAGAGTATCAAACAAGGTTTTTGATGGCGAATAATATCCCGCCGAAAATGCTTGGAGTGCCCGCCCCCAGGTTTAAACAAGACTTGCCCTGAAATAGTGTCTGTTTAAGCTTTGCTTGGTGGGGAGGAACACTAGGACTACAAAGTCCGTGAGTTGTGGTTCTTTAAACAGAGTTTTCGTCAATGTCTCCAGCTGATAAGAACTCGAAGTCACTGGCGATCCTATTTCAGAACAACCCTCATCTGGGTCATGCGGGGTGCAATCAGGCCATTCCAAGCACTGAATTCCCTAGTTCTAAACCCGAAGCCTCGGACCCTACTTAAACCCCAGAGTCCTAGAGGCCCTTCTATGAGCCTTCAGGGATCTTCAGGGCTCTACACTTCGCGGCATCGATGGGCTTCGTATCCGGACTCCAAGGAAAGCGAATGAAAGCTGCAAAGTGTCGGAACCAGTGCCGCGTCTGCCTGCAGCTCGTCCTTCCGCAGGTTTTGTAGGGCTGCAAGGCTTTAGGATTCCAGGGATGAGGGCGTACGGCCGTTGGGTCTCAAGCATCTGTTCCGATGCAAACCTGAAAGTCATGGAGTTGAAGCTTGGAAGCAACAGAAGATCTTTGCCACGCCTGCCCCGTTTTTTGGGACCGAGCTAAGACCGAGGCACTCTGACTGCGCAAACTCTCTGCAAGCCCACGCTGACATCTTTACTACAATTGGGCAAAAATTGAGGTCGGCGCAGCGTGCATGCCCTTAGAGCCGAAAGGGCCTAAGCACCAGACTCAAACGCGGCACCTGCAACTCCCGTGTCGAGTCCTTGAAAGACCATAGTTTCGGAACTTGTCCTGATAAGTACACCCTTACCCTAAGGCTTTAAGGACTTATACATCAAGGCTCTCGCGCCCAAACAGCGTGGATATGGCTTTGGGGCTTTTTCCTGAGCTTGTGAGAAACAACGAAGGCTGCCATCAAACAAGCCTGAAACCCTAATGCCAAATGCTCCTATCTTCAACAAGTCTCGCGAACAACTTGGCAGCAGCAGGCAGCAGGCACCCGCTTCATGGCTTGGGTTGAGGGCTCAGTGCTTGGCACCGGCCATATGGTTTAAGCCCACAACATGAATGCAGCTCGACGTCAACAAACCAATATCCTAACTCATTAATCTCTTCCCCCTATTATTAAACGCCCCCCCCCCC